TTGCATGTCAAATAGAAAACGAATTAAATCCTATTATTTGTGTCTGTGTTGTCCCCTTTTTTCTTCTCCTTTTGTCCTACGTCTCGGGTTTTACAATGTTGAAAGTTCACTAGCTCGCTCGCATCTTCTCTGTAATTTCTATACTAAATCCTAAAGTTTGTGGTCGCGTGTTTGCTTTTTAAGTTGGCTTGGGACTAGTTTCCTAGCGCGCAATTCTTGCTGCTTCCACTGGGGCTTCACCCCGAATCAGTGCAAATAAAAGGCGGAACCAAGGTCGCGAAAATATATTTGTAATGATGGTATACAGGCGTCTTTATTTAGTGAAGCGGGCATAGACCACTCGGGATTACGTAGCGCTCCTCAGATATAATTCATATATCTATATCTTTGATATTTCACTGCTACCACATCGAAGTTATGCTGCTGTAGCAAGAAAGATATTCTCATTTGCTGACAAATCGTATATTTACATTATTTACAAAAGAGTCAAAATGTAAAGATCGTGGAACGTGGACTGCGTAGACCTTCGTCTTGTCATCTCGAGCCCTCGCGTGCAAGTGATGGTGTTTTTCTCGAGCTGGTGTTCTTCGTCTTCTTTACTCGCTGTAGCGTGCCGCTACAGGTACTCCCCCCCTAGCGAGGAGGTGGAGGAGACGAGCGATCAGGTGCTCCTTTGAAGTGTACACGTCGTACTAGGGTTGGAGTTGTGTGTGCTTGGGGTTGCTCGAGATGAGCTGGTTTTATCCTGTCGAGTGAAATTGTATCCACGTCCTTTCACGAGCACGGTGAAGTACTTGTCGCCGCGTTTTAGAACTTTAAATGGTCCTTCATATGGGTTCTGCAGCGGTCGCTTCACGGCGTCTGTGCGTATGAACACGGGGGTGCAGCGTGACAGTTCCGGGCTGAGGAACACCTTGCGAGAGTTCCGCTGTCGTGTGGGCATAGGTCGTAGTTTCTCGAATGAGGAACGTAGACGGCTTGCGTAGTCCTCTGCTTTGGTGGTTTCGGTGTTGGTGGTAGGTGTTAGAAACTCACCAGGGATGCGTAGAGGCGTGCCGTACACCATTTCTGCTGTAATGCATCTCAGGTCACTTTTTAGGGACGTGCGTATTCCAAGCATCACGAGTGGTAGAGTTTCCGTCCAAGGCGCGTCTGTACCTTTCGTCTTCAAACTGGCCTTTAGCTGTCTGTGAAACCGTTCCACCATTCCGTTGGAGATGGGGTGATAGAATGCAGTGTGGATATGCTTTGTACCTAGGATCCGCGAGAGGTGCTGGAACAGTGTAAACTCGAATTGTCTCCCTCGGTCTGTTGTGATGGTGGTTGGTGTTCCAAAACGGCTGACCCACAACCTGACGAAGGCCCGTGCTACGGCTTCTGCTGCTATCGATTTGATCGGTGTTGCTTCAGGCCACCTCGTGAAGCGGTCGATGCAGGTCAAAAATGTACCGGCAATCGTCGGCTGGCGGGAGTGGTCCCACTATGTCGGGGTGGATGTTGCGAAAACGACCATCGGGAGGTGAAAACTTGCCGAGCGGTGTAGGCGTGTACCGACCCACTTTCGCGCGCTGGCATTGCACGCATGTGCGTGTCCAATTGCGGATGTCGGCGTTGATCTTAGGCCATATCAATCGAGCAGTTATGAGATGTTGTGTGGCTTGAATTCCTGGGTGTGAAAGTGAGTGGATTGCTTCAAAAATAGGCTTCCGGAACTTCTCGGGGACATATGGTCTTGGTTGTCCTGTCGACACATCGCAGACCAATGTTGCTTTGCATTCCGGAATCTTCATGTCTTGAAGGTTCAGTGACGTTGTTTCCCGCAGATGTGGTAGTGTTGTATCCGTGCTCTGCGCTGCTGCTAGTTCTTCGTAATCGACAGCGTTCCGTTCGGTAGAGCAGGTGTTCACACCAATTCGACAGAGTGCGTGTGCTACGGAGTTGTCTTTGCCTGGTACAAAGCGGATGTCCGTCGTGAACTCCATGACGTAAGCCATCTGTCGTATCTCTCTTGGCGTGTGCGTTTCACTGCTAGATGTTAAAGCATACGGCAGCGGCTTGTGATCAGTAATCACAAAAAATGATCGTCCCTCGAGGTAGTAGCGGAAGTGTCTGATGGCAAGGTAGACTCCGAGTAGTTCCCTTCCGAAAGTGCTGTAGCGGCACTCAGTGGTTGGCAGCTTCTTCGAGAAGAATGCCAATGGTTTTTATGTTCCGTTGATGTTCTGCTGGAGGACAGCCCCGACGGCGGAGTTAGAGGCGTCTACCATGACTGATGTTGGCGCTCCAGCCTTTGGATGGGTCAGCAGTGTAGCTTTTGCAAGTTCCTCCTTGATGGCGGAAAACGCTGCGTCAGCAGTTGGTGTCCAAGTCAGAACGGCGTTCTTGCTTGGCTTTCCTTGCAAAAGGTCATGCAGGGGCTGGAGGATCGTAGCACACTGAGGGACAAAGCGCCTGTAGAAGTTCACAAGCCCGAGAAACTCGCGGAGTTTCTTTGTTGTAGGAGGTTGCGGGAACTCGCGGATGGCTTCTACTCGCTGTGGCAGCGGCCGTATGCCGTGACTGCGACGCGATGGCCCAGGAAATCCAGGCCCTCGACGCCGAATGTACACTTTGCAGGGCTGACGATCAATCCATAGTTTTCAAGGCGAGAAAAGAGCTGACGTAGGTGGTCTACGTGGTCTTTCGGGTTGTCGCTGAAAATGAGGATGTCGTCCATGTATGCGAAAGTAAAGGTCAGGCCGCGTAGGACTTGGTCGATGAACCTTTGGAAGGTCTGGGCCGCATTGCGGAGACCAAACGGCATCCGCAAGTACTCGAACATGCCGAATGGGGTTATTATGGCGGTCTTCGGAACGACGGCCTGTTCCACAGGAATTTGGTGGTACGCTTTCACGAGGTTCACCTTACTGAAGATGGTTGCTCCATGCAAGGCGCCGGTGAAATCCTGTATGTGGAGAATCGGATAGCGATCGGGAACCGTGCTTTGGTTGAGGGCTCTGTAATCTCCGCATGGACGCCAGTCGCCGCTCTTCTTTGGGGCCATGTGGAGGGCCGATGACCAGGAGCTGGAAGAAAGCCGGACGTAGCCAAGCTCGAGCATGTGCTCAAATTCTTGCTTCGCTATCCGGAGGCGATCCGGAGCTAGGCGTCTAGGTCGAGCAAACACCGGAGGTCCCTTCGTCTCGATATGGTGAGTCACGGTGTGTTTCACAGGTATGGCCCTTGAAGTTGGACGAAACACGTCGGGGAATTCGTCGAGGATATCCGTCCATTGGGAGGTGGGCGCCACTTGGGGGAGGCTGGGCGCCCCTTGGACTCCCTTCGCAGATATTCCCTGCACGGTGAGGCGAGTCTCAATGTCGTGAAGCAGTCTTCTCTTTACATCCACCATGAGCGCAAAATGCCGGAGAAAGTCGGCTCCTATGATGGGTTGAAGAACGTCGGCGATTAAGAAAACCCAACGAAACGTCCGCCTGAGGCCGATGTCGAGAGTGATTGATTTTGTCCGTACGTCTTAATTGGTGAACCATTCACTGCATGTAGTGGCGGAATGTCTTGTCGATGCCGTTGATCTTCCAGCGTAGGCGGAACGACGCAAATATCGGCTCCCGTGTCTGCTAGGTACCGGACCTAGCTGGTTCGGTCGGTTACGTAGAAAAGACGGTTGGACTCCAGGCCGGCTACACCACCCGCCTCTAGTGTGCGGCCTTGCCGTTTCCCGTGAAAGTACACGGAGGTTGGCACTTATTGGCATCATTTCCGTGACGGTAGTGGTACCAGAAGACCTGGTGTTTTGCAGGAGACTTGCTTCGGCGGCGTTCTCCGATGGTTTGTCGACTCGCGCTCGAGGATCGGGAGTGACGCATGCGGAGGTCATTGAGCTCTCGCGTGAGTTGATCCATCCTGGCTTCCATCCGAGAGTTGGAAGACAGCAGCTGGGCAATCTTGTCCTCCACGGCCGGCGATGGTCGTGCGGCATGGAGTGTAGTGTCATGTGTTTGCACAGCGGAGATGGATGGAAAGCCCGCGTCCATGATTTCGTCGGTCATCCGAGCCAACGTGACGGTGGAGTCGGTGGTCGATGTGCTTAGTATCATGCGGGCTGGTTGTGGTAGCCTCTGGAGAAAAAGTTCTCGGAGAATCGTTGTCTCCATGCTCGGTGCTTTATCTCCTAGAAGCTGTTCCATGTGTCGTAGCAGTTCTGTCGGCTTCCTGTCACCTAGTTCTTCTGCCGTCAGGAGTTGCTGCAGCCTGCGGTGTTCCGACTCTGTTGTTCGTCGGAAGAGTTCACACTTCAAGTATTCATAGGGCTGGTCTTCTGGTGGAGCGCGAAGGATGTCCCGAACGACTGCTGCCGATGACTGCGGCAGAGCGGAAATGACGTGGTCCAACTTCGTCAAGGACGATGTTATCTTGTTCTTTCGGAAGGTCGATTCAATCGTGAAGAACCAGAGTTCCGAATCGGCAGCCCAGAATTCCGGTAACTTGAAGTTGACCGCAGCGACAGCAAGCGTTGTTAGGTCGCCCGACGACGCGGAAGCTTGAGTGACGCTCATCGTTCCAAATGAGCGCAGATGTTCCAAGACAAACTCACTGGTTGATAGAAGCCACTAGTCGGGTAGGAGGGCTTGTTCCGAGTCCCGGGTCACCAGTTTGTAGCAAGAAAGATATTCTCATTTGCTAACAAATCGTATATTTACATTATTTACAAAAGAGTCAAAATCTAAAGATCGTGGAACGTGGACTGCGTAGCCCTTCGTCTTGCCATCTCGAGCCCCCGCGTACAAGTGATGGTGTTTTTCTCGAGCCGGCGTTCTTCGTCTTCTTTACTCGCTGTAGCGTGCCACTAAACTGCTATGGGTTACTTTTTCATATTTAATTGTTCGAATTACTGCGCGCGTGCACTGGGTTTATTTTTATTGCTTTGAAATGTGAATACCAAGAGGCGTATCTTGTTGTCAACTTCTGATAATATTGAATTTATGTTTGTTCACTTGCAGCGCGGTTTGTCAACGTCCTTGAAATGGCGGGGAACTGGTCTTTCTGCGTGTTTTCGGCAGCGTTTTTGAGCGTTGACACATTCTTCTTCTTGAGGTAAGCATAAATTAACACTTTTCTAAGCATGCTCTGTGAGCATAAAAATAAGAAAACCATTTCTCGAACTGGAGGTATGACAACTGCCTTCAGGTGGTTCCAATGTTTTGTCAAATTTATGTATATGCGCGAGACCCATGGACGGCAGAGTCGTCCGATCCGACGTCCGATCCCACAGTCTGAACGCCGCTCCGCATTGCCGCACGCGACATCTTGAGACAAGCTTCCGATTTTGCATGCGACACGACGATCCGTTCAGCTCCGCCCAAGAGATCCAAGCGCTCCAGCGGTGGTTCGCGTTTCTGTACAGATCTGTGGTCCCAGACTGACCGTTCAGCTCGCGCGAACGAAATTACGAGCTCGTTCTCAATAGCGCGTGCATTCTTTGCTGGAGCCATCTTTCTCGAATGGGTCAGCGGGATTTACGCGTCCGGCTTCCCCTCGCCCGTCCCGTTATCGTGTTCGTCTGGCCAGACCCAGTACGTCATCATGACGTTCGCGCTAGCTGTGCTGTCAGTGGCTGGACGCTTCGGACAGTCCGCCCGCCGTGCGAAGCTATCTGGCGCGTTGGATGCACGCCGGATCACCGATCCGACGTCTGAAGCGACCAAATTTTCCGGATCAGCAGTCGTACTGCCGGGTTGGACGTCGGATCGGATGCATTTTGCGCGCATGTGCCTCGCGCTTTATTCGCAAACATGCGTTGAATATGTTTAGGATCTTAGACAAAGCAAAATGTAATAAATAGAAAAAAAACTTATTTTGCTGGAAAATTATGAACGGAAAAGGATTTGATGGCCTGTCTAACAGCTTGCCTTTCTTTTAATTTTACTGCGGCGAAACCAACCTACACTCCTGGAGCACGTTGGGAAGATGATGCAGCGTAATCATATTATATTTGTTTGTTTTCGCAGTGGGTTCCTGCTATCCTACAATGTCGTCAAACAAAATGCCAACAGGTTTCTGATTGCTGTGGTAGCTATCATACGCCGAGAAATCAGGTGAGCTGGGATTCACAAATACAGAAATCAGTGAGCTCCTTAGACTCGCGCTATTTTACAGCGGAGCTGCTAAGGGCTAGTTTCCCCAGGATCGTGAACCCCGAAAAGAAATGAAGGCACCGAACTCTGGACACCTACCGCCGTCTATGAGCAACGGCGGCAAGCCACGTATCTGGTTGCTGCCGTCGCTCATAGATGGCGGCAGCCTTTCCACTCTGGCTTGCCGACTTGCGGCCGGCCATTATTTTGCATTGTACAGCTCCGCTGGTCCTCGTTCTTCACCAGAGTGGAAAGACGGAATGTTTTTTTAAGGAGAGAATGTGCCGAAACGCTTCACTGTCTTTCATAGCGTCCTTGGAGAATCACTCATTAGGGAGTTTTAGTAGACCGTGTTTTCCCCTCCGCTAACCCTCCGCTACGAAGAAACAGCCACTGCGCCCGCGCGCCGATGGCCTTGGGTGTAGAGTTCTGGATAGCGATGGAATTAGCGGAGGGGAAACACGCTCTGCTAAAACTCGCTATTAATTGATATGAAAGTATCGTTATCGCTGACACGACAGAATTCACATTAGGGTGCACAAAGTAAAATTCAGTTTTAGGCTCTCAGCCTCAAAGCTTTTATTGTCCGCGTGCATTATTCCATATTTTTTTTATACTTTCATGGGTTCTTGATTCTAGGAACGCGTATTATCGCAACGTATCAAAACACTGCGTAACCTGTTTTCCGAGTATGTTATCGCAGGAGATTATAAAGGAGTTTTCATTTGAGAGCGCAGCTCTTAGGCGCCCGTTTCCGACTTGAGCGGCGTCGGCGTCGCAGTCGCCGTCGCCGTCGGAGTAACCGCGCGGTGCATTATGGGAAATGTCCCATAACGCAACACGCGGGACTCGTGATATCAAGAGGGTCATGTGATCTCACGAGGTGCACGTCACCTCACGAGGGTCACGTAACCTCACAAGAGTCACGTGACCTCACGAGGGTCACGAGACGTCACGGGGTCACGGGACGTCGCAAGGGTCACGTGACGTCACGAGGGTCACGTGACGTCACAAGGGTCACGTGCCGTCACGAGGGTCACGTGACCTCACGAGGATCACGTAGCCTCACGAGAGTCACGTGATCTCACGAGGGTCACGTGACGTCATGAGGGTCTCGTGACGTCGCAAGGATCACGTGGCCTCATGAGGGTGACGTGACCTCACGATGGTCACGTGACCCAACGAAAGTCACGTGGCCCCACGAACGTCACGTGACCCCGCGAGGGTCACATGACATCACGAGAGTCACGTGACCCCAGGAGGGTCACGTAACCTCACGACAGTCACGTGACGCACGAGTGTCACGTGACGTCAGGAGGGCCACGGGACCTCATAAGGGTCACATGACCTCACCAGTCACGTGACGTCACGAGGGTCACGTGACGTCACGAGGATGCCGTAATCTCACGAGTCACGTGGCCTCACGAGGGTCACGTGATGTCACGAGGGTCACGTGACGTCACGAAGGTCACGGGACCTCTCGAGGGACACATGACCTCACAAGGATCACGTCACCCCACGAGGGTCACGTGACATCATGAGGATCATGTGACATCAGGTGACCTCACGTCACGCGTTGCATTATGGGAAACGTCCTATGATGCAACGTGCGGGAAAGAGGAAGAGGGAGAGGAGGAGGGGGTAGGGGAAGGAGGAGAGAGGAGGGAGAGCAGGAGATGGCAAGAGGGTAGGAAAAGAGATGAGGAGGAGAGGAAGGAGGAGGAAGAGGGAGGGTCACGGGAGGAGCAGAGGAGTAGAGCGTACGGATGAGGAGGAGGGGCATACCCCCCCCCTCAGTACCTTCCCCTCCTCCTCCTCCTCCTCAAGAGCTGCGCTCTAATTCGGCGTTACAGGAAGTTGTAAACGTCATTCATTTGTTAGTACGTGCATTTCTCACGTGCACACAACTACACAAAAACGCACAACGTTGCACTGTACGCAAGAATGTCGTAATATCACCTACACACAAATATAAATAAACCACATACATTAGAACGTTAAAAACAAGTAATTGAAACACATGAACGCGATACAAATAAATAGTCGCTCTTCTTTTGCAACAGTGTGTAGCAAAGACACGCAGAACCAGCTAACTTCTACACTGGTGTTAGCTATGAGTGGTAAGGTTCTCTAAAGTCGCTGGCAGAATGAAAACGGCAGGGCGTGTTTTCCAAACGCCTGGCCTCTCGCCACGAGCTCCGCGCCTTACGTCTTGCTTTGGCTTTCGCTCGAAGTGCACCAGACGCCCAAGCGTTGTCCAAGGTTCCTTGAAGGTTTCACTTTGTCAGTGATTAAACAAATCAAACTGTTTGTGTGTTTCAGGGTCACGGTGCCAGTTGTGTTTTGCATGGCATGTTTCTACCTCACACCTCTTGTAACATCGGGTCCGAATGCCGAGGTTCTGTTTGATAAGTTCTACAATGAAGTTGAAACGCACTGGTGGCAGCTTTTACTCCAGGTCCGCAACTTCGCGAAGGCATCCGACCTGGTACGTGATTATTTGCTAATGCAATAGTCGCGAGTGGTTATTGAATAATCCGGGATAATAGAAAAAACAAATCATATTTCACCAAGGACTAAACATTCAATCTGTGCTCGTTTAAAAATTCTTGCCTCTGGAAATCAGAGCAGAACTTTACAGCCATAAAAAAAGAATAAAGAAACACGTTGTTGGGCGGTCAGGCGAGTTATGCCGAGGAAGCGTGTATGCGCCAGCAAAGACGCCAATAGAGAAGGGGGCATGGATAAGCCTTCGTTTCAACCGTAGTCGGTGACAGGCTAAGTGGAAGGTCCTCCCACCTCTTTCCACTTTAGCAGAGCCAATTCTGGAAAGGAGGCGACGTCCTTTCCAGCGCTTGTTATTGTCAATTTTAAAGCTATGAGAGGAGCTTACAATTCAATATTAGTCTGTCACCGATTACAGCTTAGTCGAGATCAGACGCCAGATTAAACTTACTCAGAAAATAAATAAGTTATTGAATAGGTGCTATGCTGAGTGTGTGAGTCAACGTTTGCGCTGTTATCTTTAGGTTATGAATAGCTAACTGGCCAGAGCCTCCAGCCTTAAAAGGTACTATGTGCAGATCTTGTTATCTGCGTCACGAAAGCCGGCTATCTCTTCTCTGGCGATTTCCTTTGGAAGACAAATAAATACACGTGGCTGCAACATATACTATAAATATACTACTTCTTGGGAGTTGATGGAAGCTTACAACCTAAATAGGAAAGAAAACGCCCGCGTAAGCGACGGTCATATTTCTATGACTAGTATGCAATTAAAATTCCCATCCCGTATCTTAGGACGATAGTACTCTCCAAATTTGTTTCTTGGTTTTTCTGTCATCTTATTTACCCAAACAGCATGCTGCTCACGCTCCTTCGGATACATTCGCTGGCGCCTGGCCACGATTAAACTAGTTGAAAGCAGCGCTTGTTCTTCTCTTGTTCGTTTCGATTGGCGCATACAACTCTCCTCTGCATGAAAAGGAAGTGAAGGTCAGACAATTCGAGACTTTCTATGACCTTGTGGTTGTCGTTTTTGGGTTCCAAATATTCTGAGTTATGGTTAGTAGGCGCGGATATGTGGTTTGGTTCTTGCGGTTCTTGATTATTTATTAAAAATGTACATGTTAGACCAATTTGTTTTAAGGCGGGACATGGCCTAGGAGGGTCAACTTCTGAACCATTGTCTCAAAGTGATTCAAACTTTCAGGGTAAATTGAACCCCATTAGGATTGATGACATCTAAAGTTTCAGCCGTATAGGCCAATTCTACAACATACTATGCTTAACAAGCTCCAGAAAAAAGTTACTTTATTAGGAATTGTATTTAAGAATAATAATATTTGAAATCCACAAAATGTTTAGTTTAATGTGAAGTAGAATACCAATAGTGCAAGTTAAGGTAAAAATTAATTGTGGAAAATGCAATTCTGGAGAAAAACAATAACACCCAAAAAGAGCAAACGATTTTAACAAATTTCTGAGTTATAAAATATTCAGTTTTTGTCATGAAGAATTTGGCTTTTTCAGATTATGAGTACCTTAACTTGTTCCTCAGGAAATTTCAGTCAAGGACGCCACTGATTGAAATGTTCACACTTTCGAAATGTCAAATGATACATTTCCTCATACCACATTTCCTGTCAAAAAGTGAAACTGAGAAATATGCATTTGAAGTTTCAACCTTAGGTTTCTTTATTTTCTATGATTCCGAGGTAGGCCAAATTCACCTGCCGCATTGTTAACACCTTCCTCTTTGAGACTCCCTTGTTCCCCTGGCAATAGCTACCAGTTTGCATTGTTTGTAGGCATGCTAGCTTTTGTAGCAGGCATTCCCTGACAGATAAGCTGGCAAGAACTAAGAGGAAAATTGCACTAAGAAAGAGCAGCAAAGCAGGAATAGGATCTGAAGTGAAAGATACTGTGAAAGGGTGTTACTGAAGATGACATAATATCGCGTCACCGGGAAGGACCAATCGTAAACCCTGTTTCAGGTCTCAACTAATAAGATTGCTCATACCAAATTTTTAGAATTTTTTCTTTTTGGATGTATTGCGTCCTCCTAGCCATTGATACTTGTAAACTTAGAAAGCTACTACGGGTTAAATCTAGAGTAAATGCACTTCCAATAAGGGCGAGATGTTCTGGCTATATTAAATGAGTGTGAAGCCGCGCTACATAAAAAACATAAAAAAACTGGCTTCCTGCTGACTCGGAGGGCTGCCGACATGTCAAAAATAATTTATTGTGAGATAAATCCTGCCTGTTTATAGATAAAAGTTTCTGAAACCATTCTTTGGAAGTTAGTAAAAATAAACATATCATTTTTGAAAAAAAAACATATTTTTTTCTTAAAACTTTGAATTCTGAGGTTATGTCCCCCCTTCAAGCGAGTGTTCAGAACTCCGTCGATCCAGCGATACTTCGTACGTTCTTACGAATACCAGTAATTTTTTCTGGGATTACATAAAATATTCAGCTAATTCTTCACTTCGAGTATGTATTTTTTCATGTGCACGGTGTACAAAATAGCGCCACCACCTTTCCTTATTATGCTGTTTTTTGTGTTAAGATTATTATTCGTCTAGCTGCGCAATGCTATGTACATTTAGGTGTGCTATACTCAAGCACCACCAAAAAAGATGTGTTCTTTAGCGTTCTTTTAATAAAACTAACAAGGGCATATTGAAATTAATATCAATTCTATAAACGCGCGTGATTGGCGCCGATTATAAAATGAAATTTTAGATTAATAACTATGCGTGGAACAATTTCTCGGATCAATAGCTGTCTACCGTATTTATAATTGAGTATAATTCTACAGAAAACACTCGCAACTTTTGAATTATGTTTTTGGTTTGTTTTCGATTTTTTTGTTTTCAAAATTAATCATATTGTTGGTTTCTGCTATAAATAATTCAAAGATGTGCTCTCTTTTTGATTTCAGGAATGCTTCTCTCACCTGTGGTACATCTCAACAGACTTCCAATTATTCGTAGTTAGTCTCTGCATTCTCCTGATCTTTAGAAAGTGAGATGTTTCGTTTTGTTTTATCTTATTTAGTGACCAATGCCGCTCGCATACTAACCCCTCTTAATTGGTGTCGGCAATGATTGTTAAAAGGCCACCTGCGATGTTTGATCAACACCCCTGACAATATATCCTTATCTCGCTTCGCGTCCGTCACGTACACACAAAATGCTTGTTTGTTATTAGCTATGGGAGGTAATATAATTAACACAATGCTCAAAATTACTCGATGTAATTAAACGGAGCAGTTTGTACATGTGCCTGCCCAGTCTCTTCAGGAAATAAGAAAATAAAAGTTCAGCATTCAAAAGTACATAAAAGTGTTAATGATCATTAAGTTCAAATACAAGCGGATTTATGTGTCAACCACAAGCTCATTTTTTTTAATGGAATAGGGCTGAATCGCAGCTTTTTTTTATAAACTTTCGTTTTCAACGTGAGGACTTAGTTTGCTCAATATGTTGGAATGTCGACTTTTGTTTTATTTATGCTTGTTTTATCGGCAATGTACAGGTCACGCACGTTTTAATTATTTTCGTTGTGACACATCGAACGTCCTTCAATCCGATGCAGGTTAGAAACATTTCTGAGCTCATTCTATTATGACAAAAAACACGGATGTTAAAAATAAAAGTAGTAGATCAGGCTAGATTAGGTCTTAAAATTGTTTTTTTTTCCAGTGGAAGTGAAATAGTTACAAATATATTGTAGGGTTTGATAGTTCTCTATAGAAAACACACGCGTCTGTAAATAGTGCCAAAAGGAAGCACTTCAAGGAATGTAAATAGTATGTTGAATTTAATGCCCGTGAACAAAAGTCTTTACTTAGATGTTCAGTTTGTGTAATGCATATTGAACGTCCAGCTTATATCATACTCTGGACACAAATAAATCACAACCCTCAACTTTCTGAATTACGTTGATGATCACAGGTGTAAGAAGGGAGAGTATGTTGCAGTTATGTTTAACAATTCACATATGTGGCAGCATAAAGCGACGCATTTTGGTTCCAATGGATATAAAACTAACCCATTGTGAATTGTATATTTTATTGTCGCTTCTTAGTCGTGGTCGGTTGGCACCACATTCTCAAAGGCGCCTGTTTATTTTGTTGCAGCAAATGGTTTTTGATGAACGCCGCCTTCATTATCCTGTCCCTCATCTGTAGCTGCGTTTCTGCGTGGCAGATGTCTAGTGAAAACTACCTTCCAGTGATTCCTCCGATTGTGGACAAAATATCGTAAGTATCAAATATGATGTCCTAAATTAGTATTTACTGCATAATGATTAATAAAAAGAAAAAATGCTTGTCAGGCGCAACGTAATGCACATACTTTTTGTACTATGAGTATCATGTTGCATGCAGCAGTGAAAGACAAAATGTGGAAATGACAGCCTCTGCTGAATAGGGCAAGGTGGGCCAAAATGAGTCGAACACAATTTTCACTTCGATGGTAACATTTATTTTTCCTTAAAAAACATGGGGGTATTCTTAGATGTCTCGACTTTAGGCTTAGTAAATATTACTTAATTGGAGCAAGCGGAACATTAAACAAAACTACAACATCCGAAAGTCATACAATGTCTCATTTTACCCCGATCTGTGGGGCAAATTGAGACAATGTAGTGAAATACATGAGACCCACATTAAAAAAAAAACTGATGTGCGTACAGTTTTTGCAATAGAAACACTTGAAGCGCACTGTGCGGGCTCCAAACCACTCTCCATAATCCCACTCCTTGGATTCCATGCCATCGAATTATACTGAATGCGGGGCTGCTTGGCTTCAAAGTTTTTATCATACCAGGCACTAACAATCTCTTATAGAGTGCATCGCATGGTCTACAGAAGGCTCCGACACCGCGAGTATGTTCGAGGTATCACTCATAATCTCTTTCTTCGGCTGCATAGTTTTTGTTCTTTTCTTTTTGGAGGGCGGTAGGGATAGGCAGTGGAACGCCGGTTTTTGGCTGCTTTCACCAACATCAGCTTTGCCTTGTGGGTAAATGACGTAGAAACATTGCTGCTGTCCGACCTGCTTATTCTCTTTTTCCTACGTTAGGTACACAAGAATTTTTTTTCGAAACTTGAGACGTCCGGTAAAAGGAAAAAAAGGAAAACGCGCCTTTGGAGTTTAGCCGTTTTTTTCTTTTAGTGGAGCCGCTGCTCTTCACATTCACCGAGTCGTTTGGCTCGCCTTTGAAGCGCATCCTTTGGTACTCCAAAACGTGTGGCATCAGTGCGCAGGGAGCGACGCTGTTTGCTAGTCACTTTCAAGAGCTTTGTTCATTTCACTTCCGTGCTAAGGAGCACTTGTTTCTGTTTCTGTTATACGTTGAGACCGTCCTAGATACCGGGAGAAAAAATTTGACTCAGGAGGAACCAGGAGACTCGTGCGTTATTGACATGCGCGTCAAATAATGCCGGATTGTCGCCTTTTGCCCCGCGCGTATCATCCTACGTAGATAATTATTTTCTTTAAAAAACTCAACTACAGATTACTTAAAATGTGTCCGGATGAAGCTAATAAAGCATACAAATAAAATCAAAACATACATTGGTAGAATTGTAGGTGCAAATCGTGGTGCACGCTTCGAAACGAAACCTCGCGCTGAATTTTGCGCCTTTTTGGCGGGGTGTCAACACGTCAACCTCAACTCCGCATTTTTTTTTTCGGAAAACTTTTGCCGAGGGCTCTTACGTTTTACACATGCAAAGTGAAGAAATCGCGGCACATCTTAGTGAAGTTTGAAGGTACTCCTGTTGCTTGTCTAGGAGATGAATGGCGCGAAACACAAACTTTCGCATTTTTCCCCGCGTGTAGTTTTACCCACCTCACCTTATACACTAATGTAAATCACCTTTTATTTCACTTAAGAAACGATAACTACAGTTCACTATAAATGGTTGAGACGGGCGATGTTTTTCCAGACAAATTAAATTTCGAACAATCCTATGACAAAAGGTACAACAATATTCTGTATAGTGCTGCGGTTCCTAGGCTGCGTGTTTTGACTGGTATATTTACCTTGCTATACTGAAAAAGTTAAATGTGGTCATAAAGTGGCAGCAAATTACCCCCCCCCAGGAGCCTAGATCTGTTGTGGCATGCAATATGCGGGTCGGTCGCTTTCGTCGCAAACATGGTTATGAAATTCGTTATATGTGCGGTCTACAATTCGGCTTGTTTAACGGAGTCGAGTGAGGATCGACAGCGAGCGGAAGTTGTGAATTGCAAATAATTAGGGAACTTGCTGTTCCTTTTGTATGTGTTTTAAAGGCGTCGGCTCTGACGGAAAACCCAACAACTGTTTTTGCAATCCGTCAGCATAAAACCCGTCTGGCGCGCCCAAATCTGTGGTTTAAACAAATTTGCCTACTGCAGTGCAAACGACTTTGTTATCATCGGCTTAACATTCCTTATACTTGTCGTAGCAGTTTGCACTGCCTCCGCTAGGCACAATAAGTACTTGATGTCTACGTTATCTTTCTGGAATCCTGGTGTTAAACAGTTGAAAAAGAAATCATTCGACTATCCCTCCTCCGCTGTTTATATTGGCAGAACACGGTTTGAACCAGACTTGTACCGTACGCATTACAGGTGATCAAATTACTTGTATTCGATTGCTTTTTTTAGTAATTTTGGAATCAGTTGATTACTTTTATTAGGCAGTAATCACAAGGGTAATCTGATTACTTTTTGATGTAATAAAAATTATTTATAACCGTTAATATTTTTCCAAAGGACCACCCCCGCACACACCTTTTCTTTCTGAGATGACAAAAATAAAATTTGCTTCTTTTGTCTAACAAAAAAAAAAGAGATTTTCACGAATCTGTACGAAACGAGGTATAGTTTTCGTGAAATGTCCGTTCTTTTTTTTTTCGAGCTGGGGCTGGGATTGAGAAGCCCCAGGGAAGCCCCAGTGCGTGACAAGGGCCATTCAGGGCGAAGTTTGAGGGAGCAGAATGTAGCTTTGTAAGTCCTTCATTCAAACTAGCCCCCTCACGCACATACACACAGAAATAATAAAAAAAAAACAGCATAATCCTGGTTACGGTACTTACTCGCAGCGACCAGAACCGAAGAATGTCTAAAGCGGATGCAAAATATAACAAAGCCAGTTCAAATAGACGTCAAGGTCCCGTATTAACCATACGTGGTCTTTGCGACAAGCAAGGTTTCGAGGTTGGAGGTAGTTCATTGTTATGAGCGCTAAAAATGGAACTCTTGACGCAATAAAGTAATCGGAAAAGTAACGGTTACTTCTTAAAGTAATGTCCAATTACTTTTGCTGTCGAGTAATAAAGTAATCTGATCGAATACTTTTTAGCCAAGAGTAATAGTAATTGTAATCGATTACTTTTCTTTAGCAACGCATCCAAGACTGGTTGAACCCACGTTACTACTCCAGAATCGAACTTTCATACACATTAGCATGGCGGGGTATTTTTCTTCTTTCCGCTTTTCTCACTCTGCGTTGAAAACGACAAGTCCCCTTCCCTCCACGCATGCATATTATTGTTTTAAAACAGAGCATTAAGCTTTCATTTGGGCGAGAAGTGTCGACCACATGTGTTTTGAGCCTAGTACCCGCCGAACTCGCGCAGATATGCCATTGGAAAAACTGTACAAAGGCTTTGTTCTGCCTTCCCTGCATCCTACACCACAACTCCAAAACTCCGAACACTCAACGGAAATAGCTTTAACCAAACGAACCAAACAAATATTTCAAGTGGCTCGATCATGCTTTCAAAAGCCGGGGACGCAAAATGTTTTGAGTTACCGTACGCACAAAGTGTGTGGTTACGCTAGCCCCGGGCTCATCAGATTCGTCCCCATCACACAGGCACCATGCGTAACGCACACACTTCATGCGCATGTATAGCTCGACACATTTTTTTCCCGGTGTTTGTCAACATGATCAAGCTATACCATATTGCAGATTAATAAAAGCAGGACAATCTCTTTCTGCGAACCCTGAACTCGCTCTTCTTTACCATAGCGAACGCCGGAAAGATGGAATGACGAGACGAGGACTAACTCGCCTCGTATCCGGCGATCGCTCTGCTAAAGTGTAAAGGGTGGAAGAATATGTCAGAGAACCAGACAGACCGTCGGGAGTGGCCAAGAATCCCCCGATCATTGGTGCAACCATAAATGTACACTGATTAAACAGAACACATGACTTGGGACAACAGAAAGGAAAGAGTAGCTCGGCCCGTTATCAAGATGACACGATAAGTTACGCTGGAGGAGCTTGTCTTGTTTTTGTTATTTCGCAACAGGGGATAGTGTATTTGATATTCTTTTAAATCAAATATTACTTGTGCCCATTTTTCTGCTCTGCTTACCTTTATCGAGAGTGTCTCGCTTTGAATTATATGGTTTCAAGTTCAATCGCATGCAGGAGTAGTACATTCGTGATTTAATAATGGCCTTTATGTGTATATATGCTTTCTATAACTTCGGCCTACGTGTAACAGTCGAGTGTGGCGGTCAATCAATAGAGCTGAGGGTCAGCAGTTCATAGATAGGTGCATATAAACACTTCCTTCTGTTTAAAAGAATGCACAAACGTCCCCGACGACGACTCCGACATCTTGCATGGCATCTTTTGCATAAATTGAGGTTCCAGTGACAAATTCGGTGGCTTTTGAGGTGCTCCTTCTGAGTGTTGTTAATATTGCAGGTAAATTAAAGAAATGGGAGTATTTTTACTTAGAACCTATTTTTTGGTAAATAGATATCTTCGAAAAATATGGTGATAATCTGTTCAGGGATGTTATTTTGATTCCAGGTGCAATGTTCGTAAAAACTGCAGAAAATCAAGGGAGTTGACTTCATGAAGTGTCATGTACCCTCCAAGCACATAGAACGCGGTTAAACTTCTAAAAATTAGGTTTTAGCCCTTTATACTTTAGCTCCAAAAGTTGATATGTCAAAAGCGGTGGAGAGATTTTATATAGATGATTCATATTTCACGCGACTGTTTGAGGATTTGTTTTTCAGATACTGTTTGTATAATAGTGCTTTTATCTGATTTCAGAATTCTCGCAGATACATTCAACTACGTGTATATGACGCCCTGGAATCATGGAGCATGTTTTTTTGTTGGATGCGCAACATTTCAGTTTATCAATAAATATAAAGACACCAAGATATCTAAGGTAAGGGATTTTCACAAATTAGCCGGACGTAACATTTTTGTGCATAAAAAGCAAGGGTCCTTTTAAAAACAATCAGCTCTCAAATTTAGGAGAGGCATGGCTCAAGCTATGTAGCATGATTTGGACATTTTATGCAGTTACGATTTAATCAGTGTCGCATATATTAGAATACATTGAAGTTACTTCAGGAGCATTTCATATTGTTCCGTACAGGTAACTTGTACGGTATACCTATATTACAGTTCACACTTGGTTAAGGATAACATAGAATGATAATGTTAAAATTAAAACGAGTCAAATAATAAATATTTAAATGAACGTTCTGTTTCATATATTCGACAATGCAGTATGCTTATAATTTGACACGAAAAATCTCACAAGGTAGCTTGAAATTTCACGTGCTGCTTTTCTGGTGAATTTTTTTTATATCTTTAAAATATTTTTTCATATAGTCGGGTTAAAATGTTTGAAGCAAATAAATGCATCCAAACTTGGATTAGCTGAAATAAAACATATTTTTCGTATAAGTGAAGAATAAGGCAGCTAAAGGAGATGAATCCGCACTTTATTTACTATTGGTGAATATACATGAAAATATTATAAAAGAGTTAACTACTAAAGTCTGAAAGGATGCATTACTATTAGGGCTGGGCAATTGATCGATTAACCTGCCGATTAATCAAATAATGCTTTGATGGCGATTATTCATTTTAACCGGCTAATCGGTTATACCTTGACCAACCAGAATAATGTAAAAAAGTAAGCGCTTTCACCAGGCTGATGTTGACGAGTACACCTGAATGAAGGGCACATTTTAGGTGAGCTTTTATCCTAAAGTCAACTGTAGCGGCGACATATGAAGTTACTCCAGATAAGTGCAGAAGGTTGCACGTGTCGCAGACACTCCAACGCCGTGCGTGGCTCCGTTTAGCGCAGTCGGACGAATGGGAACAACCAAAGCAGTTCCCGATTGCTGGAAAATATCAATGAACCTCTCTGCCCCGTGTGTCTCAAGTAATAATCTGTGAGTGTAAGTGTAAGGTTGATTTTTAATCCAAATTGTATATTCCGCCATTTATAACGTATTTTCCAAACGAAAAAAAAGATGAAATTTTTACTTTTTTAAATATATTATGCATGGAAATGATTGAAACCGATTAATCGATTAATGTATCAATAAAAGGGTACCCATTAATTGGGTTAGAATTTGTAATCGACGCCGGCCTAGCCATAATTGTTATGATATCTCACAAAATAAAGTGTTCTAGGCATTAAAAAAATATTTCGCCTGACCAGATTTTAACAGATTTATTTATTTATATAGCGAATTCAAAATTAAATTCAAAAGAAAAATAATTCGTTTTATTTACTCAGCAGAGAAATGCACATCCCCTTTAAATGTTATAAAAATAAAAACCTCCAATATAAGCAAACAATGTATTACCCATCTTGACACCAAGTCTCAGTATCCGCTCATTGAAAATGTACACTGAACTGAACCCTCTTTAACTATTACGAAATGTCTAGCGATACATAAAAAAGTAGGTGATGCACGAATATATAGATACTTAAAGGGGCGATGCAGCGATTTTTATACTTTGCGCAAATACCGCTTAGAACGGATGGCTGACGTTGACGACTTAGAAAACACGCGTTCGTTTTTCAGCCCACGCAATAGAAGTCCCAGAAAAAAAAAAAAAAGAAAAACGAGCACCGTTCACCCCCTCAACTCGCAGCCAGAACAAACGGCCACATGATCTGGAGCCGATTATATGCCGCCAATGTTGATCATAGCCACGCGCTGGGGTTGGCGAAGCACAGGACACGCGCTTAGTTCCAGACATTGTTATGGCTCGGCTGTTGTCGTCGTTGCAGCGATTGGACACGGGCGACTACCCGAATGCTTCTCGAGCTAGTAATTATTACGAGCCCAAATCGAGTGCCCACGCAACTGTCGGGTTCAATCTATGAACCGCTTTCAAATATCGTCATTGGGGTGTACTGCGCTCCCCACGTTATGTCATCAAATTTTGAAAAGGAGAGATTGAATGAAAATGATCGCTTTTGTCCTTAAAATTACACCGCAACAAATAAGTTTCTTGACCAGTGGCGCTGCATGCGAGAGTCCTTGAGCCCCACTTGTGCCAGGAAGCTCGTGCAAAGTGAAAAACATTCCAAATGAATATCGTTGCACCACTCCTTTAAGATTTTAATTTCCCCTTCACTATTTATTTGCATGTTTAAAAAAGTGTTGGACATTGTGATGTATAAGTGCCAGTTGTCATAAAAAAATACAGTGTGAATCTTGAGTAGTCGGTGGTATATGTGTTATCCTATCGTTGCATGTACACTCAAAACCTGTGAAGGGTAAACTTCCCCACTAAACACTCTTACATACAGTTAAGTCACCTTAAGTCAGAGCGTCCGATAAGGAATCGAGTGACGTTCTGGCTATAATATAAAGTGGACGACGTGACCCTTACCAATTTGAGAACACACAAGTCTTCCTCCCGAGTGTGGTGCCACGAACCTAATGTTTGAGGTACAATCATTTTATGGTGCACTGCTAATAAAGAACGTGTCTTGCTCAGCCCAATTCTGTAAAAAAAAAAAAAAGAAATTGCTTTTATTTTTTACTATCGTCCGTTACTTTCGCGCTTTGCACATATTTTAAATAATACAAACTACGTACATAAGCCCACAGGGCCCATTCAAAGCGAACCTAAAAATGAAAGCCCAAGGAAAATCAAACCCGCGGGTCAAGTGATTGGTCGCCGGATATTATATCCACTGAGCTAAGCGCCTTTGGTGTTCGGAGGGCAACTGCGGAAAGAGCAGTTGCGAGAGAAACAGAAGTGCGGAGTGCAGCTGTGCGGAGGAGGAAAATGTACGTCACATCCTGTTGAAACGTGTCCAATAAATTGACAGATGCTCGATCACGCTGACAAAGGCCTTGGAACACCGAATGTTTTGAGCTCAAACTTTTGTGTCTGGTTTGCGAGTTAGACTGATGAGAGCGAGACGGGCCTAGGCAGTATGTGTGGTTTGCACACAACGCATTCTTGCTTTTCAAACTTTGAAGGTGTGATGAAGCATTATTTTCACTGGCCGTGTTTTCTTTTTTGTTGGCAGCAGCTCCCCCACAACCATTTTTTGGTTATTTGCGGGTGAACTAAACGCGCTAATTTTTCTAAGAGAATATCTTTGTTGCCCTACTGAAAAAAACCATTTGGCGCCCATATGAAAATAAACGGGTCCATACCGGTGACCGTTTAACCATACTGGTCACCAGTTTGTCAAAGGGGTCGCCCGTATGGCTCAAATGGGTCCCCCGTATGAGCCATAACGGTCACCTATTTGGCAAACGGGTCGCTCGTCTGGGCAAATGGGCGACTCGTTTGGGCAAAGTTGTCGCACGTTTGCTCAAACCGGCGACCATGTTGCAAACTGCACCGGTTTAATCAAACGGCTCTCCGGAGCCCGTTTGATATTGAACGTACAGATCGGCGGCGTGGGCACGCCTAGCGTTTCAGCCGTGGCAGCCAATGTTTTCCGGAAGGCTGGGAGCGCCTGTTCATCGATTTCAGATCGTCCGCGTAATGCAAGTAATTCTATTTATATTTCAATTGCGCTGATTTTCGATTATAGTGCAACTAAAACTAACACCTTTTTTTGTTTTTTTGTTTTACGTAAACGCGCGACGTTGGTGAGCCGATATTTTTGACAGACCTTTAACTTTGTCCATCTTTGTTGCCTCAATTTACTTATTCAGCTCGAATCTCTCTCGCAGAAGACGCGACCGCGTGAAAGAATGTACGTCTAGACTCCGTTTCACTTTAATTCAAGACGCAGCGAAGGTAGCACGCGTACACGAGGCTACAAGAACATCGAGCATTGCGAGAGCACGCCCGCCGTTGCAGCACTCAAACTACGAACTTGCGCTGAGTACTGTCTTCGCTCGGGCGCAAGCCGAGCTTCTGACCGCCCCGCCGCCATTTCCAAAGTTCGAGCGCGCGCGTTTGTTCTTCGGGACTACAAAAACGCATCTCCCTGGAATGCCTGGGGAGAGGGAGAGGGGCTGTCCCGGTGGTCCCAGCGCCTTGACCTCGCCCCCTCCCTCCTCTCTTGTCACCCCTGTCACGTGACCCACAGCAGCGCGCGAGCTACACGCTGATAAGCATCGAGATCCGGAAGGGCGCGCCTTGCAGCCGCTTTTTTCTTTGTCTGCTTGTTGTCAGTTGCTGCTCGAAGTTCGCTCGTCCTACCTGCTACAATCTGTCGCCTAACCCTGCGGTCTTATTGGGATGTCTCTCGACAACGTATTGGATGTGCACCAAAGCTATCACTGTTCGAAAAGACCCACGTGTATGTCGGCAACGAGCGATTCTTCAAAGAAGTCGCAAATTCTCGCGGTTTGGTTGGGTTCGGCAAGTGACAGCTTGTGCGCCGCATCGTGTTGAAACTTCCGAGGAGCCGTTCCCTCTCGTCTGTGTTTGTGTGGTTGTCCTGCTTTGACCGTGTCGACAAATATCACGGATTACATCTTTCAAGTCCGCTATTGTTATGGTAAGTGCACTGCAACCTACGTGTTGGCAACGATTGACCGTTCTTCTACGCGTACTCTTCTAGATTATCTAAAGAATTATGCAGCGCCTATTCACGCGGCAGCCAGGAGAATAATTTCCCCGAAAGTCTACCTGTATAGTGTTCACAGATCGCTTGCACGTTTGTACTTGTCTACAGAAGAGGTAATAAACTTCGAGGAGAATTGAAAACAATCTTTTGTGTCGGTTTTCCTGTCCACTTACAAGCACCTACGCGAGTGCATTTGTTCTACGTGTTTTCTCCATGTTATAAATACGTTTATGAGTTTCGGGACGTCTTAAATATGTTGAAGATAACCAACCTCCCAGACGATACCCATTTAGGGCTAGCGCATAATTTGCCAATTCGAATGGCACGTTCAAACGTGTGGTCACGTGCCATGTCGAACGGGTACTCGTACCATACGGCACCCGTATCAAACGGGCACCTGTATCAAACGGGTACCGTTTCGAACGGGTACCGTTTCCAAACGGGTACCCGTATCCCATAATCACGTTTGATCCAAACGGATCGACAAGTTTGATTCAAACGGGCGACCAGTTTGCCACCCGTTTGAATTTCAAATGGTTTTTTTCAGTAGGGTGTGAAACCTGAAGTTTTGAAGAACGTAATTTTTATTAGTTTGGAAGTTCAGTTCGCAAGGGTTCAACGTTGCTAGTTTGTTTTAAAAAAGGATTTCAAAACTATATATCGCGGAACCATTTTTCAATGGAATAACTGTATTTAAATTGAATTAGAATTTACGATACCTTCACTACCAGTCACCATCAAAAGATAAAGCTTCTGAAAACCTAAATATTGCAGTCGATGTTCTCCTAAGACACTTTAGTCTTATCAGGGTGAATCTTTAATAAATCATATGTTGATCTGCACTTTAACAAAGCGCCAACGGATCTGCCCTTCGTGCATTTCGCAGAATCCTGTTAAAGGCCAATAAAAAGACGTGCGAGACGTGAATTCTGGCGTATTTGTATCCCATGAATCTTACCAGATTCACGGGGTAAAATATGCGAGAATTCACCTCTATCACGGGAAAAAATTGTGCGAGTAACTCGTACAAAATTGTGCGCCAGAAGTCACCTCTAACTCGCGCAAAATTGTGCGATGTAGCTAAACGCGAAAAAACACGAAAAACCTGTGACCAGTCGTGACGTCATACTAGGATATTTGGGTCACGAAGCCCGTGTTCCTTGTGTGGGCAGCGTACGCAATTTCAAGTTTTGCAGGTGTATTCTCATGCGCTGACAGCAGTCGTTACGTCCCTTTCTGACGTTTATGGAAATAGCAAGAGGGAGCGTGCATTGTTCGGTAGGCGCTAAAAATTCGCGAGAGCGGAGATTTCGAAACCTCGTATTGTGATGTCACGCCCCGGGAAGAAGGGACTTCGGCGGTATTTTGAAAATTGCTTTCTGCATCCTTCATGCACCAAATTGAAAAATAATCTCGATATTCGTGATCCTGGAGGCCGAATCCAGACGCTTTAAATGTTTTTCGTCGCATACCGAACAGCTTCAGTTTCTCTTTAGTTTATATGAGCACCGTCTACTATCTGATTTCCACGTAGGTTATGCAAGCGCTGCTATGGTTCATCAGCCTCTTTTGCGGAGCGGCCTGCATTCTCCTCCGGCACCACTGGAACCCCGGAACCATCAAGACTGGCGCCACAGAGAACATTGCCTTCGCTTTCTTCGATCGCCTCATGTGGGCCGCAGTCTTGGCATGGCTAGCGTTTGCCTGCGCAACCGGCAAAGGAGGTAAGGTAACAATTTTGGCCATCCAGGTGTTCGTGACAGCGGAATTATAGGACATAAATGAGAGGTCTGGCACAACCTGAAAAACACAAGGTGGTACTACTTCTTATCGGCGATTACAAATACGGTTGCCGTATCCAATTGCATTTTATCGTAGCGATTGTTCACAGTCCACCATGGTTCTGGCCACACACTTGTTGACAGACTTGAATGCGGTGGCCAGGTGTACTTTACACTACTGTGTCTCATTACCTCAGAGAGCAGACCGAAAAATGAAACTGCGGAGAGGCTCAATTAAACTGTACGGTGGGGCTAGCGATACTTCAGAAAGGTGCGCTGTACTTTTCCTGCATGCTGTGACAATATTTTCTGCCGACTGAATAGAGAGACTGCATGACTTTTGAAAACATATGGCCACGGAGCAGCATAATGAACTGCAAATGCGTTACAACATAGAGATAAGCTAGTGCTATAAGCACAGCGCATCATGCTATATACCAGTGCTGTAATAACGTTCAGCTGCATATGATCCAAACTTTGCTGCCTATGATCCAACCCAGACTGCAGTGATAATTAAGAGCAGCGGTAGCCTTCATACTGGAGCTATCTCAGCGCTGATGAGCATATGTGACCCGGTCCACAAGATTGCCCTCACATTTAAAAGACAAGAAAACTTCTCCCTGCATTACGCGTACAGTATTTGGAATTTTTAGTTTACTCATTAAGAGATGTATGACTTTGCCTTAACTCAGGAAGGTCGTCAAGAGCGAGTAGATATAAAAATGGTTGAACTGCATCTCATCTATGCTTGAAAGATATATAACGGGCATTTACACCAAATGACTCAGCGAAAACGTTTTAGCACTGGAACATTTATTTGTGTTGTTTCGCCCAACTTCAACATTACGGCGAAAAAAAAAGTGTCGCAAGCCCTGTCCATAATGACCCTTAGGAGTGACGCTGTCATTTTGATCATATCGCCACCATCTCTACTGCGTGTCCTTGGTGGATGCGCCGATGACACCTGGGGACGACGTGACCGAAACGACTAAGTGAACCTTACCTTTATTGCAGGCAGAGTTTAACGTGTTTTTTTTTCTTCTGCGCGCAATTCTTAAGTTGCGCGAAGAAACGCGATATTTTATTGATAATATAAAAAAAATATACAAGTCCCTTTTCACAATTTTTTTTAATTCACCTGGCCTCTAAGAGCAATTGTCGTCAGTACTGCAATTCTAAGACGACCCCTCAAACCAATAATTAAAGTTTTCATTAGAATATTTGAATTAATTTGTCAAATTACCGTGATAATTATCCCCTCGTCTAATATACCCCGAGACTGTTAAATACATGGTGAAATGAGAACTCGACCCACTCTCATCTTCTATATTTTTAATAATCTGTACTAATTAAAGTTAGACACCCTGTATACGTACATAACGTAAGTCTCGAGGCACAGTTTTACACAATGATGAAACGCAGAAAATGCGTTGTATGGCGGGGAAGGTTAAGCTGGATCTAATGTTTCTTTATTTATCGTTGTCTTTTTTCGGAAAATGCAACGTTGAAAGTGTTCTTAATGAGAGTGTGTAACATGGGGGGAACATAATAGCGCTTCACGGCAGAGACGAAGAGTAGGAACGAGACAACACAATGCGCTAACTTCAACTGGCGCGATGATGAATGGCGCGATGATGCGGAGTATTTATACCCTTGGTTTTCTGACGATAAAACATTTGAAGTTACCGCATTGTGCTGTCTCGTTCCTACTCTTCGTCCCTGTCGTGAAGCGCTATTGCGTTCTCCGAGATTTAGTACACAAGAATCCGCATCGGGTAACATTTTTTTAACATTTTTAATAATGCTCAGTATCTGTACAATTTGCATAGAAATATTTCGTTTTATTATCAACCGTGCTTTGCTATTCAAGAATGTATTATTAATTTATGTATTGAGCGGGGATAACAGTTTATCGGGAAGTGAACTAAGAAAGAAACGGCTTACTAGTATTTAAATGATCAAGTCAGCACATAAATTTACACCCCTTTCGCTATCAAACTAAAACAAAATTACATCTTTATGAGTCAATTATGCCAGAAATTTAATAATATTTATATAAATTACTGTTCTCATTGACTTTCATGTCGTTCTGGGACTATGTCCAGGCAACACGGTTCGATGGGTCGTGACGGGATTTTACGAGGCAATTTAGGTTTTTGAAAGTTTAAGAAACTAAGGCGTTAATAAAATATTAACATTTTTTTTTATTTTAGCTAAAATGTTGATAGTATTTGGGCGCAAATGCTCAATCAAGGGCACAAATTAGACTTCACTTCCGGGTAGTTCGGCTGTCATCTGGCACTCTGGGCCTCAGTTCCCTTGCGAATGTTAGAACTGTAGGCTTCACCGCTGAATTTATGATATGAGGTGCCATATTTTGCTCATGTCAGACCATTACAAACTATTATGGCGAATCAGAAAGAAGGCAGTTGGCTATTTATTAGCTACAGAGAAAAAAAATTGGCAGAGACCTTTACCTTTAAACCGCTATATTGCAAGAAATGCTTTATAGGGAATCGGTGATGAAAGTGGTGTGTCACGTGTCGTATATTTACACGCTACATTTAGCGGAGAAACAGAAACCTTGCATAAGTCTGGTGACGCCAGGTCCGGCGACATTGATTTCCCCGCTAAAATTAGCGGGAAAACTGGGTTGGCGTCTCGGTAACGAGACGCGAATTTTCCGACCAAATGTACCGGGTATACAGGTAATTGGTATACAGATCACGTGATGCCAATTTTCCGTTAAGTTTAGCGAGGAAACTTAATTGGTGTTTTGGTCACGAGACGTGTATTTTAACGCAAGATTTAACGGGGAAGATGAGTTGACGTAGAGGTCACGTGCCGTCAATTTCCCCAAGGCTTAAACTTTACGCGAAGACTCGTCACGCACTTTCACCGCCAAATATAGCGGAAAATGAACAGACAAATATTTTGGGATAGGGGGTACCGTTAGAAAGCATTTCATGCTTTAAAAACAATTCTTTCATAACTAATGCCTAGCAGCAAAGCCTTACTTCACACAAGTTGGGGCCCTAGGATCGGGAATCTTGGACTAAGATACGCGTTTCTCTGGAGTAGTCTCTCCTTCAGAATTCTACGGCGTCTTCAACGCAAAGTGTTTATTTGTGTTTCTGCTTTCTGAATTTTCATTAGCAAAACATTATGAAGACATGTTTTTTAACTCGACATCGCATTTCAGGCTTCATCGGAACTTTCCTCTCCTGGGGCGCCTTCGTTCCGTTGAGTAAACTCTCCTTCGGAATCTATATCCTACACATGCCGTACTTTGTTACGTCATACTACGTGGCCAGGGAGCGCATGTTCTACTCATTCTACACTGTGGTAAGTGACGAAATTCCTGTTTCAAGAATTGAGTTGACAGAGTATATTTCATACTAGGTTGTGAGGTATATACCCCAATTAAGCAACTACGTCTAAGACCCTTCCTGCATGAATATATAAAATATGTTTGGCAATAAATGTCAAATGCCCATTTTAAGACTATGCAAAATTTCATGTATGTTTTGTTCAATGATTCTCTGAGAACTTATAACATTTATATATACATAGAAGAAGAAAGGAACCCTTAGTGAAAACAGCAACAACGGAAGATTTATTCTTCGACGTTTCAGTCCGAGTCTGGCCTTCGTCACGATGAACTTTTACAGAAAAAAAAATGGTTTGCTTTGTATGTTTTACTGCCTTGATGGAGATACGCCACGACGGGTAATCGGTCTTTTACCTGTAGATGAGAAATTTAGCCAGTGCAGTACAACCACTAACCTGGGATTTTTAACGTGCATCACGCAGTAGTGATAACACGAACACGTGCCGGTACGAAACTCATCCAGATCGAAACGGGCGGGGGCGGTGGGGAATTGAGCCCAGGAGGTTCCCAGCGCAAGCTTTCGCTCCCCGCTCCTAGCTGAGACGCGTTAGCCCACTCGGCCACTTCCTCCCCAACTTTTACAGATGAACGCGGGTGGTATTTATACAATGCTACGGTCGCATCCAAGTTTCAAAAACGGCGCGATGACGGTTGGAATTTCCAAAGAAGCGTAGGAAGAGCTCCAGATGGGCAAACGTTTATACAATGCTACGGTCGGGCCCAAATTTCGGCGGGGTGACTGTTGAAGCTTTCATGAGCAGAGGTCGGCATTTTAGGTCGCCCTCACTCACCCTCACTCTCACAGACACACTCACCTAAGCCCCTCACTCACCCTCACCCTCACAGCCACACTCACCTAAGCCCCTCACTCACCCTCACAGCTACACTCACCTTCAGCCCCTCACCGCCCTCACTCACCCTCACTCTCACAGACACACTCACCTAAGCCCCTCACTCACCCTCACCCTCACAGCCACACTCACCTAAGCCCCTCACTCACCCTCACAGCTACACTCACCTTCAGCCCCTCACCGCCCTCACGGCCCTCACGCCCCTCGCTCACTCATGGCCCTCACGCCCTCACGCACTCACCGCCATCACGGCCCTCATGCCCCTCACGGCCCTCACGCCCCTCACCGCCCTCACGGCCCTCACGCCCCTCACTCACTCATGGCCCTCACGCCACTCACCGCCCTCACGCCACTCACCGCCCTCACGCCACTCACCGCCCTCACGGTCCTCAGGGCCCTCACCGCCCTCACCGCCCTCACGGCCCTCACGCACTCATAGCCCTCACCGTCCTCACCGCCCTCACCGCCCTCACGGCCCTCACGGCCCTCACGGCCCTTACGGCCCTCACCGCCCTCACGGCCCTCACGGCCCTCACGGCCCTCACGTACTCATAACCCTCGCGCCACTCACCGCCATCACGGCCCTCACCGCCCTCACGGCTTTAACCGCCCTCACGGCCCTCACCGCCCTCACGGCCCTCAACGCCCTCACCGCCCTCACGGCCCTCACGCCACTCACCGCCCTCACACCACTCTCCGCCCTCACGCCACTCACCGCCCTCACGTACTCGTGGCCCTCACGCCACTCAGGCCAGCTTCAGATGGAACAATTTCGCCCAGAAACTTTCCGTCGCAACACCAGCAACACGCGCCGCCCGCGATCACACGCAGCAACCAATTGCTGCAATTTGCCATCTTCATCATAAAATTTTATTTTTCTTGCACTATTTAGACACAATTACGCGTTGTAAACGTGTTTTTATGCATTTAAATCTCGTTAAGAATACTAATGCACCTTTCTGAAACAGTTTATTTCCAAAAAACGATCGATTTCAAACGAGAACCAAGTCTTTCGGTGTCATCATCACCGGCACGAGGTATCACGTGAACATTTTGCGTCCCTGATTGGATGCAGCCGCTTCAAACGTATTCGAATTGCTCCGAGTTGCTTGCTTATTTCGAGCCGGACCCGATCTCAGCAATTCGTGTCGATCTAGGGAAAGCTAGAGAACAACCCGCCATTAGCAACAAAATTGCTGAGAAAGATGCTCGATCTGAAGGGGGCCTCACGCGCTCACCGCCCTCACGGCCCTCACACCACCTCATGCACTCACCGCCCTCACGGCCCTCACGCCTCTCGTGCCACTCACTGCCCTCACGCACTCATGGCGCTCACACCCCTCACGCATTCACCGCCCTCACACCACTCACGCGCTCATGGCCCTCACGCCACTCACCGCCCTCACGCACCTCACGCACTCATGGCCCTCATGGTCCTCATGGCCCTCACGACCCTCACGGCCTCACCGCCCTCACGGCCCTCACGGCACTCACTCACCCTCACACTCATGAGTTTTCCTGGTTCAGAAACTCACTCACCCTCACTTCACCTGTGAAGATGAGGGTGAGTGAGGGTGAGTGAGGGCCCTCATGAGTGAGGTTTGCCGAGCTATGTTCGTGAGAGGGAAGCGTACGGCAGTTTGTATACGGGTGAAGAAGGTTGACGGTCGGGGCCATGTTTTAAAGACGGTGGGATGACGGTTGTAGCTTCTTGAGAGGGGGCGCAGGGTGACTTTGTGTCCGGGCGGGCAGGGGTGACCTGGACGATAGCGTACAATAGACGATAGATACAAGCGCAAACTAAAGTGCTGTTTAAAAAAAAAAAAAAGAATGGCACGGTTACTTGTGTTGTTTTGTGTTGCATGTATGAGTTAGACCTGGAAGGGAACAATGTTAAACCTAGAAATAAAAAAAATGAATATCAAAACCTGGAAATAACAGAGAAAAGTTGATGGTCCAGTTCCGGCCACAAACACAGTACCACTGCTAACAATAAGGTGTCGGACCTGAAAAGATGTCCCCTGATCGCTGTTGCTATTCGTCTGTTAGCATTTTAATGGATGCTAGAGCACCGGGGCTTTCATTTATTCCTTGTTTCAGTTATATACCCACGCCTTCGGCCTCCCACCACCCATGGCCGTTATATATATATGTAAATATATATATATATATATATGGGAGGTTTCATCTCAAATCGTGTAGGCAAAAAGGGTCGAATTTTGAATTTCGTTGAAAAAAATATGTGTAATGGAGTCGACTCCAAAAACGCAGTTGCCGCAAACCGCAAGCTCGTCAGATTTTCGTTCTCGACTTACGAATTTTGAAAGAGGCCGTGGCGGAAAGCAGTGTTCTTTACATCCGTCGTGGGTCGGATGCTCCGCTCAACTTTTTTCAGGCACTCTGTGAGCACAGGGAAAAGGCTCTAATACCATGGAATAATTTTAGGCGTTTTGCGTTTTTCTGTAAAAATGTGAAAAATGCCCTCTCGGTTAATTGTTGACGAAATTTGACAATTAAATTCTTTCGATCTATTTGGGTTACATCAATATTTTTTATGTCTATGGAGAGCCCTAAACACGCTATCTATATAGATTATAAAATTACCCAACTATAAAAATATCTTTTTGCGGTACGTTTACGGTAATTTCATGAAACACCTAAAAAGTATAAATTTTGAAATAAATTTTCTAAAAAAACAGTTTTTTTATTTTTTGATATTTTTGCTAAAATGTAGATATGAGAGTTGTCTACTCGAAAAGTAAGTCTAGAAAGTGTGTATTTTGTTTGTATGTTCTATATTTAAGCCTCAGTATCAGAAAAAAACGTCTTCGTTTTGAAAGACCCAAGTCAGACATAGCGACCCGTGCGTTTCTATGAATTGTGAAAAACAATTTTTGAATTTCTGTCTGCGTTTTGTAATCAATTATAAATGCAATTTGTGGTATTGAATAGTTATTTATGTTTTGATAAGAGCGGGAAACCACGAGCAACATATCTGTTCAAATCAGCAGGCTTAGTGGACCTTCAATATCGAAGAGGCGCAGACGTTGTATTGTTTCCATTTATAAAACTTTCACTGTGAACTAGCATGACTAGCTATTAGCTGTCATATTACTAAGATATAGAAAGTAACCACATCATTGATATATTATATACAATTCTTTCCGAAACCAAACGCTCGGTTTGTTCACCGCACAACGCACAGATCACCAGGGAATGGCCTTTCACTTCCGTAATACACAAAAGTGAAGACATAGAAATGGCCCCATACACACGAAGAGATTCCCACGGAGAGGGTAGGGAATAAAAATAAATAAATAAGAAAAAAATTACCGAACTCCGATCCAGCGAAAATTGCGTTAAAATAATAAAAGGTTCGAGCGGTGGCAAAGCGATAGGTACAAGCCTGGTGGAGAGTCAGACAAAGAAGTCGAAGGCACGTAAAAGTAAAAATAAAAAAAATTTAATAACGACGGAAAAATTCAGCCCGTACACGGCCAAAACAAAAACCAACTCTTCCACGCATGGCCTAAACGGGACGCAACCAAATGCATGATAACACGCTCTCTACAGCACCGTCACGCCGCTACGCCATGACGAAATGAACCCTACAAGTAAACAATGCTAACAAACAGTTAGTAAGAAAACATTCCAAAAAAACGTTCAGCAAAACCGCACCCCAGAAACAAAGTTCAGCGGGGCGAAGAAGCACACACGATGCAAAAACAAGTCTCAACTGACCGACGCCGAGTCCAGTCCCGACACTGAAGCCTCCAGGATGACGGCGTCCAGGCGATGCTCGAATGTATTCTTCACTCTGTTCCACACAGCCACGATGGCTGTGCGAAACAGTGACTGTGCGGAAGAGAGTGTAGAATAGATTCAAGCAACGACGCGCGAGAAGGTAACCGAGACTTAACATTACTCGAGCTTTATGTCGGGAGAGGGGCCAAATACCGTTGAGAATAATACAGGAAACTCCGAGCTAAAATGGGAGACGGAAGTAGAAAGCGATCCTGGCGGTGTGGAGTGGACAACTCGCCACTTTCCCCGGAAATGAATCAAGTGGGTCTGACTCACTAGAGAAATTGATAGTCTATAAA